TGAATCCAAAGTCTAAGAATCCTTCAAACGAACTCAGGTCCCTACGTACTTGAGTCTAAGGACTTAAAATCCTTAGCAAATTCGGAAGTCTTAAAAACCTTCGAGCGAATTCAGATTTACATGAATCTACCCTTAATGGCCGTAAAAGCTCTGTAAAAAGGATTTAGATCCCTAAAGATCTTAATCTGGTCTTAAAGACCCATGAACTCTTTCTTGAAAATCTCACGACCAATCATACTATAAATCACTGTGACCTCTAAGGTCACGAGATTAGCTATGGACAAGATCCGCGATCTGACTCCGGAAAGATCACACACTTAAAAATTCATAAGACACAATCGAGGTACCTTCAGAAACTAAAACAACAAAAGCTACTTGAAAACCAACAGCAATCCTGAACATACGACTAATACACTCGAAGAGAAGGTAAAATAAGCTTACTTTCTAATCCGGCGGCCGGGATAGGTTCCAGAAATGAGGCTCCGTATCGCTCAGGGAACCTGGCTGATCCTATACGAGAAATAGTATAGGCTCCCCACGTACAAGGACTTTGCTCCATCATGCGGCACAGACCTCTGGTGAGTTTACCGGTAAGCTTATCAGGATCCTCAAAATCTGCAAAAAGAATCAAATGGTTAGCAAACCATGCGAAAGGAACAAACTACACAAATGCTTCCCTAGGAGTCCTAACCCGAAGCATCAGACCAAGGAACCCAGAGGGTACGACCCTCAGGAACCGTCAGCGGATCGATCTTTACATAAAAATACTTCTTCCCCTAGTCGTCGTCACTACCAGAGAATTTGAAAATACCCAGCTTGGGTCCGCAAGGTAAATAGTAGGTACCACTACCACCGTCTTTAGAGGCGCTCTCCTTAATCGTAAAAAGACTCATTGGTCACGAAGGCCAACGGCAACCCCCTCTTCCTAAGCCCTAGTGAGAAAACCGTTTATCACTCGGATCACTGAGGGGCAGAGTTGAGAAAGAGCTAACTGATAGTGGTCAAGCAGGTATAGCAAAAGATCAGGAAGCGGGAATCTGAGATGACATTTAGCGATGTACTTCTCGTGAACGCAGAACCACCCCTCCGGAGCAGTCTCCGGGGTATCATCGAATTTACAGACCCTGGACAAGTCCTTGCGACCTTGGGCCTGAACCATGAGGTTAACTACTTCTTGGCTCCTTAACAAAGAGGGCACGTGGGATCCAAAGGGGACACTCTCGCTGGAGCCATCGTTTTTCTTCGATCGCTTGGAGACTCTCAGGGCTATCGACTCTCTAGCCTTCTTGCTCTTTTCATCCTTCTCCATCTTCTCACCGACTTCCTGCTTGACCTTCATGAATCGGACACCAGGAGGAGGGATTTCAGTTTCTCCTAAACCTTCCTTAGCTCGCGTCATGATAACGAATGGGAAAAGAAGCAGAGAAATAGAAAGAAACGGAGAGAAATTCGATTTGAAAAATCAAAACTTTCGAATTAGAAGACTCCATATATCGTAATGGGAACAGAAACAATCAAAGATAAATATATATATAAAAAAAGAAACTGAAGCAAGTTAAGGAAGAAAGTGAACAGTTACCTGGGAAACCGAATCGAGACGTGGGACGGTGGTGAAAAGTTGCAGTTAATGACTACAGCTTTATATCACGTCATATCTCGAAAATCGGGGACTAAACTGTTCAAACGCTTTAATCTTAACCGTTGATCTTACCAAACGAAATCAGAACCATCAGTTTAAGGTCACACGTATCTTCAAATATAATATAAAATAATCGTTATCTCAACAAAGAGTAAAGGAGGTGAGTTTTATCCCTCACAGTTACTTAATCCACATTACAACAGTAATAAACCAACCATCCAAAGGCGCCTTCCTCAAGTTTGTAGCTTATGTGTCTGGTTGAAGATAAAGACTTGACACTGAGAACCGTCGCAATAGAGAATATAAAAGACCAGGATGCAGAGCATTCGTCAGTTGTCAGTTTGCAAGTTGATTACCTGTAGAGACATGTCGAGTTTGTAAACCCCCTGCTTTCAGCTGATCTCGAATGGTATGAAAATCAGTGTCAATGTGTTTACTTTAAAACCTTTGTGATTGGAAAAGCAAAGAACAAGCCACATTAAGCAAATGTTGATCTTTCCTTCTACCACTGAGTTTTGTTGAGACGTGTATGAACATGAATAAAAAGGTAACATACCATGTTCTTTTATGATATCAGAAAAAGCTAATTCAGGTGTATTATCTGATCGTATTGCATATACTTCAGCATTGTACTGAGTAGACACTAGATTTAGAAAATCTGAAAAAGAAACCATTGCGTTTATTTTTCAACATATAAACCCAAGTCATTCTCGTACAATCATCAACCAGTGTAAATAAATAACGAAAACCTTCAGCATACTCTGTACTAAAAGGACCCAAAACATCTATATGAAATAGATCAAATGGTTTAGGTGACAAGTTGTTATGAGAAACATAAGCTAACCTTTTCTGTTTAGCTAATGGAGAAAACGAACAATGAGACCCCGTAGAAGACGATGCAGACTTCAAACTTGGTAAATCTCGCAACAATTTTGAAAAACAGCAGACGAAAGATGACCTAGACGAAGATGCCACAAATGCTCATAAGTCAACAAAAATCCACAAGATGGTGTAGCTGATGATGATCCTGAGAGATATGTCATCTGAAGGATATATAGATTTTAGTAACGATTATTCCTCCTAATGATCAACCCTTGTGAAAGTTCTTGTAACAAACACCCATTGGAAAATAAATAATATGAGAAAAAAAGGCTTCAAAATATTACTCACACTAATGAGATTAAAATGAAAGTCATGAACATACAAAACATTTTACAATACTAATGAATCAGTACCATGAATGATACTAGTATGAGCGATAGGTACTTTAGTGCCATTAGGTAATGTAAATGGGACATTAAGCATGACGTGGAATAAAAGATTGTAAATTAGAAAGACAATGGTCTCGGAAAAGTGAGGCCAGTATGTTCATATTTGAGGGTTGAAGAAAGGAAAGGAATTGTACCTGATGATGAGAAGAAGTCATGGCACCATCATCTGTAATGTAGCTCTTGAGGAAGGAATGAGAGGCTCTTGAACTCGAACTTGAGAATTGAATGTGAAAGCAAATGCTGAATCTGTTGTGGCGTGAACTCTTGAAGAGTCATATTAGCACTACCACTCGTGATGTGAGGAACTCGAAGCTGAATGTCCTCAAATTTGGAAGTACCATGATCAGTATGAACATTTACAATAGCATTAGCCTGTTGAGAAACATTAGGATTCGAAAGCTGCAAGTGTTGTTGTACATGAAGAGATTGTTTATGTTTCTGATTCTGATTCTGATAAAACTGGTTATTTGATCCATAACCAGAACCATTTGTCTTACAATGCGGAGGATATCCATTCAGCTTGAAACATTTTTGAACTGTATGGCCACTCTTCCCACAATGAGTACAAACTGAACGTTGCGTCTGATGAAGTGTATTATAAACTACAATATAAGAATTATTCTTCATGTAGCAAAAAAAAAAAAATCAGAAGCGGGCATCGTCATCGGAGCCATGGCTTAAAATGCAACTTTATCAACCTTTGTAGAAGGCTTAAGAAAAGGCCTCCTCAATAGTCAGTATCGGCTTCAACATTAAGATATGATGCCTAGATTGTTCATAAGACTCATTCAAACCCATAAGAAACTTCGTCACTTTACTTCTCTGTTGCAATTTCTCCCAAAGACTAACATCATCACATTCACAACGACCACACGTACATACAGGAAGCTCTACATAGTTCTTATCTTTCTCATAAGGTAACCAATTCAGTGTAGTAAATAGATACATCCATCGAGCCTTGTTCTATCTTACTCAACCTCTGGTCAAGATCATAAACGCTAGGAGCATCATCCTACTTAAAACATGAGATAAAATTGTTCCAAATACCCTCAACAGTCGAGATAAACAAGAGACTTTCGACAATCTTCTTGGAAACCGAGTTCATCAACCAAGTCTCTACAATGTCATTACACCGAGACCATATGCTGTAATCTTTATGAGTAAGAGAAGGACGAGGAATAATACCATCAGTGAAGCCTAATTTGTCACAACCATTTTAGGATATACGAACAGATCTCCTCCAAGAGTGAAACTCTGATGTTGTATTTAATCAATCTGAAACCAGAAAAAGACCAGGATGATCACTATTATGGAAATAGTATGGATTTCCGTACTGACCAGCCTGAAAATGAGGTGCATCAAGAGGTGTCACCGTCGCTGTCTCCCTCAGAGGAAGCGATTCAGAATTTGGATTCGTCATTGATAAGAAACAAGATTACAAACCAATCAAGCAAGCCAAAACGATGGGAAATGAAAGAAATCGTTCGTAAGAAGTCAATCAAAGAGAAACATAAAGAAAAAGAAAGAGAAAACAACTTAGAACTCCTTGGAAAATCTCGTCAATGGTGACAATCATCAAGAACATAAATCAAAAAAATTTCATCAACAGAACAATCATGATGAAGCGAATCGATAGAGCAGAAAATCAAATAGAGTGCTCTAGTACCATTTTAAACTCAATTCAAGCTAAAATTCAAGATTATAAGCTATGAAAAGAAGATTAATCTGAAAATTTTGTTATTCACATTTAACTATACAAACTAAGATGCACTCTCTTATATACTCATCTGGTATATACAAGTAAATCGAATAATTACTTAACCCAGATTATACTAGTACTAAACCAATTTTCCTAAGATTTATATGCACGCATAGAGTTTGGGTATGTATTTTCTCAGAAATCCATAATTTGGACACGATTAAGCCGTTTTCCCGATATTAAACTCTTGTATTTAACTGATTTGATCATAGTTTGTGATCAGGTTGTACTCTCTTTTACATAGTGAAATTTTGTACGTACCAGTCAGAGGTTGGGAACTCGTTAAGTTGTACGTTTTCTTTAAACTTTTAGTTTAATATCTTTTTTTTTTGGTCAACAGCTTACTTCATTAATAATTAAACAGAGTTTTGTAGGCTAAAAGCCACAAGAGTGTTTTTAGCTAAAGAATCAGCTACAAAGTTTGCTGATTTAGGAATTACATCAAAAGATAAGGTTGAGAAGAGAGGAATGAGGTGACTAATTTCATGGAGAAGTCCCGCTATCTCGTTCAGAACTGTCCCTGATCGCATGGCAGAGATGAGGACACTTGAGTCCGATAGAACCTTGATATGATGGAGACCGTTGCTGATTGCTACCTTTAGCGCTTCACGGACGGCCAGAACTTCAACTATAAGTGCAGATCCCACAAAATCATGAGCTGCAGCTCCTTTTATCTCCAATTTAGCTTGCTTATTCTGAAAAACAAACCAAATCCAGCATATTGATTAGCTGGATTCCATGCCCCATCAACCGAGCACGTCGGCAAAGAAGAAACAACAGCCCGCAAGAGTAATTGTCCAGGAGGATCTAATAAAGCAGGTTTAATCTTTGCTGCTTCCCACTCTTTTCCATCCCTAACAACTTTAGAAATAGTTTCTTCAGCTGAATAGATTTGATCCTCGAATATCCGCTTGATCTTTACTGTCCAAAGGTTCCATAGGATCTAGGGGGACAGCGGAGAATAGGTTAAACCCGACGGGGGAGATTAAGGATTTTGGGGATTAAAGTGAGCAGCTGATGGAGGGAATTTGGGGGTAACTCTTGAGAAGTAACAAGACATATAGGAGCCATTTCCCACACTTGTTAGTTTAATATCTTCTTAAACAACAATAAACAGGTAAAAAATCGACTCAACGAGTAACAGGATCAAGAAGTGATCCCTTTACCTTCTAAGTAGCCTTTCATACGATAAAAGACAAATAAAACAAAAGACGTCACCGAGAAAATCACCGCTGCACTCAACAGCTCATCGAACAAGGACGTCCGAACCGTGTATTGTTAATTCGCAAAACAAGATGCAAGAAATATGAGGACAGCCTCGTGCTCTGATTTACATCTTGCTTAAGCCGAATAACAATTAACAAGCTTCAATCAATCTAATATGATCTAAAGATTGTAGATTTTCCTCCAATCTCTCAAAACAGAGGATTGCTCGAAAAGCAGGTGTTTGCGTTTGTTTGGCAATGCAAACATAAAAAGTACCGTTTGATCAGTGAGGATTCTAAGAATAAAAGAGCTTCATAAACAAATGTCACATATGCATCCAGGTTTACTGAAGCTTGACAACAACAATAACAAAAATATATAATATAAGAAAAGGATTCAATCTATTTACTCAGCTTCCTCAACAGAAGCTTCGATTCGAAGGAGAACGAATCCAACTGCAACGCCAACAAGAGTAAGAGCGTTCATGATTGCTGCAATCTTGAAAATCTCTCCGACTGCGTTACAAGTTGAGGTTAAGGCCCCTCCACCATTTGTTCGCCCTTTGAGAGACATCACGACATTAGCAAAGCACTGTTCAGTGCAGAGTGGTAGTCCCATAGACACAACCTTGTTGTTCTGTGCCTTGAGACCACCATATGAATTTAGTCCTGTTATGAAAGAAACTTTCATCTCCGATTTCCTCTGTGCCTGTCCGGATTTGAACACGATTCCCGTTCTCGTCCATGCAACCACCGCCGGTGCCGCTGCTGTAGCCATTCCTTTTACTAAAACTTACATAGATTGTTTCATGATATTCAATAATTAACAGACAATGAGTAAAACAAGACAGAGAATTGGGAAGAGACAAGATACCTGGGAATATGTTTGTAGGATGCAACAGAAGTGGAGCGACTCAAGAAGAGAGAAGAAAACGAGGGTAGCTTTATTTAAGAGAAAGAAGAGATTGCGGATAAGGTGGGTGTGGCTGCCACAGCCACTAACGACGAGAGATGGATAATTGTTTTTTTTTTTTCCAAATATCCGTGGACACACGTTTCTCATCGCTTACTCTTTCTTATATTTTCTCCTTTTCCCCTTGATTTCACTTTTAATCCTCTTTAACTTTCACCGCTCTTTATTTTTTTATTTACAAAATCATCGATCAGCTCTCTTATGTAATACTCCATCCGTTTCACTTTATTTGCCATTCTAATTTTTTTACACACAGATTAAAAAATATATTTAATTTTACATATTTTTAAGATAAAAACACAATTACCTACACACCTAACCACTTTCCAACTAATAAAAAAATAAAATATTATATAAAACTAATAAATTTTGCCTCAAAACTTTAAAACATCACTTAATTTGTGACAAAAAAATAAGTCTAAAATGTCATATATTTTGAAACAGAGGGAGTAGGTGTTTTACATGTACGGACATAATAATTTTAAAAATATACTCAAGTAAATATATTATCAGTTGAAACAAAATTAAAATAAATTAATATCTATATCAAAATATTTAATAAAATTAAATAATAAAAATATTTATATATACAATTTTTTATCATAATATAAATATCTTTTTATCACATAACATAAATATAAAAATATTAATGCTTTTGAAATATTCACCAATAAATTCAGTATTATTTTTTTTACAAATGAAAAAAATTTAACAATATAATAAATTATGCTATTATTCACCAACTGTAATTGTAAATATTTTTTGAATCTTGTATATCTTTTTTTTTTAAATGAAATCTGAATCCAATAGAATGCATATCTATATCTTATATATTAAAATAGAAGTCACAATTTCTATTCATGTGTGATATTTCATTTTAGACCATTTACTAAGAAGTAATCATATATAATTCTGAATCAAAGGCTCATGTACTCCTGCCCGGAAAAAATGATCTGAGATACTCCTGCCCGAAACTGTCCGGATTTGGAATTTAATATATCTTTATTTAAATTCAAAAATTTATCAAAAGACCACGGATCCAACATAAACTTACATAATTACAACCCAACCAGGGCCATTTCGCGGACCATCCAGACCCGATCCATAAAATTCGGATCTATTTCTCCATAACTTCCGAAACCTTTGTAAGACTTAGTGTAATCGTAAACTTTGGTGTAACTGTGTAGCGTAATAAAACCTGAACAAATAAATACTGTCTCAGTTACAAAGTTATGCTAAATTGATCTAAATCGCACATTTAGGAGTACTCCACATTTAGATTGCAATTTATTATTAGGTTATTATTCGGCCACATGTGTTGTTATTGATATATTTATTGAAGTTCAAATAAAAAAGATTAGTTTGAAGAAGAAATCGACAGGAATTACATAATGTTTATAGTTAAAACTAGAGAAATAACAGAGCATATTGTGAAGAGTAATTTACATAACAACTTAGTAAAACTAGATAAAACTTCTATGTCATAAACACCCAACTAATCTTCAATGGACCAGGCACGAGCAGTCAAGTGTATGGCATAGCAGAAGTCCCAAGCTGCACAATTCCAGAAACAACGATCGCATTTCCACCGTAATCTTGATCCATCTAGAGAGACTAGAAACATTAGGATATATCCTTTCAGCACCAGCAATAATGTGGCACATTAGGATCTATCCTTTCAGCCACAGATATAAACATGAGAGGTTTTTCGTAATCCCAATTGCCTGCGATTTCCCAACTAGTGATGATTTGAAACATCTCGTCAACATGTTGACGAGTAAAAGCAGGGTAGTTGTGAACAATTCCTCTACCATCAACGCTAAAGGCTATGTTCATCATAGCATCTACAAATTGTGTCAACACGCACCCTCTCTCACCAGCACGATGTATTTTTTCCCTTCCTTCATCAAGTAAATGGAGGAAGAAGTACTCGTACATACCTCTCAAGTAGATGGCCTCATGATTACCCAAACAGTAGCATTTAACCTAGAAAGCTCGAATAGCATTGACCTCGTTTGCCCAGTCATTGAAGTAAATGAGATTGGTCGATCTATAGAAGTGATCATCTCTTCACACTTCATTGAACCCGGGAAAAGCAATCCTTGCACAACCAAAGTTCCGGATACCGGTCATTAATACTTTAGAGAGAATCTTATGAAGCATTGAAGGAGGGAGAGAATTCAAGTTCACGTTCTCCATGTCTAACTCGAGTATCTAACTCTGATAAAAGAAAACGGTTAATGGTGAGAGAAATCACAAGTTTGTAGAAGTGATAAACCCTTAAAAATTAATGAACCACTCACCCCTAATCAAAAGAAGCATGTAGATTTAAGTGTGATTTGATGGACTCCTCGAGAAGACACGACTTCTCTCAGACACGACTTCTCTCAGACACGACTTCTCTCACACGCCTACACTTGCATCTCTTGGAACTGTAACTTTGTATAAGATATATAACTATATATAAAGTAAGTGAAACTAAGATATATAACTATATAAGTAAGTGAAAATAAGTGAGTTAGATTGTTATGAAACTAAGAAAAAATTCAAAATTTAGATTGCATAAATTTTTTGAAACTATATAAAACATAGGTATAGGATATACTAAATGAAAATGGTAATATTAAGGTTAAAGAAACACCTGTAATTATGGAGTTGGGTGATTTGATGGACTATTCGAAAGAACACGACTTCTCTCATGAAAATGTCTAGTTTCGAAGTCTCTCTTATAATCATTACACTTGCATTTAAACGCCACAACACTACAGTCATTAAGTAGTAGATCATCATAACCATTGCATTTAAACTCCACTTCGAACCCCGAGAAAGCATAACTAATCCAACTGATCTCACACGCTTTCTGACTGCAACAATCGCCTCTCCTGAAATTTAAGAAATATAAATATGTAAACGTAAGTGAAACTTGGGGAGATCACGGGCTAGATTTATGAAACTAAGAAAAACGTAACAATTTAGATTGTAAAAATTTGAAACTATACAAAACTTAACGAAATTTTTGATATTATATTGTTTTATTTTTCAGAAGATGGTCAGTTTCCAAAATGGATAATAGTTAGTGAATATATTTAGAGTTCGTATATTTAATGATAAAAACTAGCAGTGCAGGAGATAATAAATGAAAAGGATAATATTAATTTTGAGAAAAAGCCTCGTCGAAAGAACACGACTTCTCTTGTGAAAAAGTCTCTTTTATACGCCACATCTCTTGCATTTATAAGAATTCTGCATTTACACACTCACCGTTACTCCATCTCTTCTCTCATCTCTGCGAATACTCCATCTCTTCTCTCATCTCTCAACAAAGAAGATGGCAGAGTACAATAAGCTTTCTCAGGTTACTTTTAACCCCAAGATCAGGTCTTCGCGTTTCAGAGTGCAACTACACAGGATCTACCCATACGCGATTACCAACCATGGGACTTACTATAAGTATATCCTCGTAGATGAAGATGTAAGTGTTATATCATCATCTCTCAAGTGTGTAATAAACATGTAACCGTGAGAAATAAAAAATTGATCCTTGTAACATGTAATAAACATGATCTTTTTACTTTATTTATGTAGGGATACAAGATGGAGATGACCACTGATGGGGATTATCCAAATTTTAGAGGCCTTGAGAAGGAAGAGGGAAGATGGGTGGAAATCTTTGTGGTAGAAGTTGAATGGACCTACCCAGGTTTCCAGCCAACTAGCTCTCCGTTCAGACTAAATGCTTCGCGCTGTACGCAAGTCCGCATCATCGAACCTCTGAACAGTCGTCTTTTCTTGGACTTCAAAAGCATCGATGAAATCCCTCGCATGCACTGGCGTGACCTCAGATATCCCATAGGTATGTTGGTAATCTCAACAGACGCATATCTTGGTTTCAGAACTTTGTATAAATCTGTAGATGTAAGTGAAACGAACTGGTTTTGTTGAGTAACACTTATATGGTAGATACAATGGGAGTGGTCTTCAACACAGAAGCCTATCTCGATACCCCTTTAGGACCAAGGATGGAGTTTTACATAAGGGACAACATGTGAGTATAAAGTAACATATGATCCAAGCAAAATTTATATATATATATATTGTAACTGACCCACTTTTTCTTTATTCTGAATAGTGACCATCAGATAAAATGTGTGGTGACCGGCAATCGGGCCTATGCCTTCCGGCACTACAAGAAAATTGAGTATTCATTGCGGCGGAAAAACGCTATTGTACGATACCATAGCGTTATTAGGTACGCTGTATCATCGGCCGCGATAATAGGTGTGACACTTAATATAGCGCTTTATGCTTCCGCTACAGTATGTTTTAGATAGATAGCAGTTTCCGTTTTGCTATTTAAATTGTTTAATATAGCATTTGTATTTCGTTATTGATCTCATGTCATATGTTTTTACAGAATGTTTTTGTAGCGTTTATATTTCCAATTAATTTAAACCCGCAATATACAAAAAAAAATATTGAAATGAAATTTAATAATTAAAACTAATTTATTAAAATTATAAGTCTACAGTTCCATCTGACATTCAAGTACAACAAAGATCCAACAACACAAACTTCCCAAGCAAAGCAACAGAGTTTTGAAATCCCAAGCAAAGACACAGAGTTTTGAAACATACAAGCATCAGACAAATTTTACTTTGTATCAGGCCAAGCCACAGTGGTACCTAGAGCATCGGATATGAATTCCACTTCTGCATTTGGTCTCCAAACTCTTGCGTCTCCAATCTTTGCCACTAGAACGAAAACCTTGCAAGCATTTTCTCCTAATGGGATAAAGTGTACTCTATCCTCTTGATTTGTGGAAACTAGACGGCCTTCAGCCACAGTCTTACCTGAGTTTAAACAATCCAACAAGAGGCACTTCTTCTCTGGACTTGATTTTGCTGTGTCCAAGTTGTTACTAACACTCTATCACCCAAAGTGGCAAATAAAAGCATAAGACCGGAGTTAATAACAACCACAACACATCTATTGAATGTTCCAAAAGCTTACCCGAGGTGAAGAGGATAATGGTGACACTCTAAAAGGTGACTG